ATATATATATATATATATATATATATATATATAGATCCATGTCATTTGTATTTCAGCGGCATGATGCTCCCATCCTCGTATTTCTGTGAGGATTAAGTATTCAGGGTTATTCAATGAAGTTTTACTGAAATGGTTCCACTTCACCACACATGCCATTTCAAGACTCTCAAAACAGAATTTAGTTCAGCTGCATATGTTTTGTTAATTTGTGTAAATGTTTCAATTGCAGTCAGTTTAAGTTCATTATGCTATTACAGTTGGAAAAAGTTGGCCATATGAAAAAGTCTCAGTTCAAATAGTTCGGGGTGACGGTGGAAAGCAACAGCATCTGTTTAACACAACAAAACCTCCAGTTGATCTGCCACAAGTAGTGTTTTGCATGTAAGCAAAAAAAAAAAAAAAAAACGTTTAATTCTACTCTCGCGATCAGAGAATCTTCAGCAACATGTTTGCTTTGTCCTTTGTGACAAATTACACAGAGAACCTTTTTTTCTGCTTTCATTAAAAATTACCTTTCATCTCGTCATGTTTTTGGACGGTACCTCTTTCCTCTTCTCTTTGTTTTTACATCCCCACAGCATCAGAACAGTCCTGCCAACAGGTTCTCCCGCTTGAAATGTGTATCGTAGTAATTTGGGCAAAAGGCCCAACTTACTTTTTGCTTCTTATTTTTCCTTTGATTAATATTCTTTTTCTCACTCTTTCAGTTTAGGTTGGCCATTATGCCACTTTCCCTTTTGAATTATGTTTCTTCTTTTTTTTTTTTGGTTGCTTTATTGCTTAACCTTGCATTAACCTTCTTCATAATGTTCTCCCTGACCTGCCTGGTGGTGTGTTTCTTGGTCCTAATGACCACAGAATACCAATGAATGGTTATTCATTATTGTCACCTCATAACTCCCCATAAGGCCTTCATATAGTAGGTATATTTATATTAAAACCAGATTACACACAGGTGGGACTGAAATTACTACTTAGATGACTTTTTAGGCCAATTGATTGTGTTGGTTTGCGATATCAAAGTAAATGATTCTTTACTAAAAATAGCATGCCACACTTTTAAGATTTGGATTTTTTCAAAGAATTTCGAAAATCACATTCTGCTTTCCCACCATTTTTGCACTATGTTGTGTTGGGGTATGATCTAATATCCCAAAAGTTCAAGAGACATGGCATGGCGTGATGTATCATGTATTAGTGTCCTAATAAAGAAAATCAAACGTGATGTCATAAAAAAAAAAGCTCGTGGAATTTGACATCATGTAGCTATACTTTGCTGGCTGACGTCAGTAGAGGTAGAAAATGCGGGGGGGTGCGCGCGCGTGTGTGCGGGCGAGAGGGGGCGAGAAAGATGGAGGATGGAGTAGGAGGAAGAGGAAGAGGAGGAGGGGATGGGGAGTTCCGACGTGAACGCGCCTGACGGATCCCCGGCGGAGAGGGCAGCGAGAGCGCGCATCCCCGTCCTCCGCTCGTGAAGACACTGCAGGGGAGCCAGATGCCCGACTGCGAGACGCTGCCTGTGGATCCTCATCCCGAATGCCAGAGCAGGCGACACATCTCATCCCACCGCACAGAGGAAGAGGAGGAAGAAATGGAGGAGTGAGATACAATGCTTTTTTTTGTGTGTGTGTGTGTGTGTGATTTCATCTTTCGGGTCCAACTCGCTCCCTCTCTGTTGTTTCGGCGTCTGCTTTAAATGAAGAGCCTCTTTGGACTTGGAGTACCGGGCATCGTTAGAAAAAAGAGAAAAAACCTCCCCGTTATTCCACTGCTGCTGCTTCTGCCGCTGCGGTGCTGCTTATTGTGAATTTGGAATATGTCGTGCGGCTCCCTGCACCAAACCATGGAGATTATATCACGTGGATTTACGCTTTTTTTAAACAAAACTGGACATCTACAGTAACATCGATTTTTTTTTTTTTTTAGTTGATCTTTTTTTTTTTTTATTGCGTTGCCCCTCTTTTTTTGGTTTGTTTTCTGTTCCATTCTTTCATTTGATCTGTGCCTACTTTTATTTTTATTTTTTTATGATTTCATGAATTTAGATTTTCCTTTAACCTTTTGTTTGATTGTTTATTTCCATTTATACTTTCTTCCTTTTTTCCTTTCCTTCTCCTCTTTGGACTGGATGAAGTGGGATGCCTCACGGAGAACATTAGTGGGGCGCAGCAGCAAAACGTGAATGAATAATAGTCCCCTTCTCCGTCTGAGACGTGCCATGGATGGGAAACTTAACTTGTGTCCACGGAACCGATCGGGGAATAGCCTTCTCCTCAAATAACTGCTGCTGACAGCGACCAGGTAACGTGAGCCTATCGGCAAAAAGAGAGATTAAAAAAAAAAAAAAAAAAACTCAACTTTGTCTAGCTGGTGTGTTTATTTACTCTGGTCTGGACGTGCTTATTTTTTGATGTCGCATCCAGCTCGTAGCTTCAGCCTGTTTGGATAGGATTTTCACAAGGAATGAATCGAAGCGTCTGTTATTATTATTATTATTATTATTTTTATCGTTTAGTATGTGATGTGGAAGATGGATCACAGGTGGGTCAGCTGACAGCTCAAATATTCTCAATCCCTGAAGGAGAGAGCAGGGATTGAGCTTTAGGATTCTCGCCTCTAAAACCGACCTGGAACTTTGCGCAGTGGCCACACAGACGCACACAGACGCACACAGTTTCCACTTTCCATTCTAGCGTTTCTAGACGCATTGGCATGCTCACTTTCCCCCCTCATCCGCTTGGAAGACAGAAGAAGGTTGTTGTTTTTTTTAGTTTTCTATATTAATCATATATTTTACTTTTAGTTGGTGAGAACTAATTGTTGGCAGAATGATACATCGTTCGCGGTCTGATTACAACGATTTTTTTTTTTTTCGTGCGCAACTGTGCGCCCGTATGAGTGAGCGGGCGGCTTCCGCCGTTGAATGTTAAAGAGGATGCACGCAAGAGCATGCATGGGGAGAAAAGAGGAGAGATGGAGGGGGGGTGGATGAGGTGGTGGTGGTGGAGGGGGGCGGAGAGGGAGTTCACTGGCAGCGGTTCGTGCAACAGAAAGCCCTTTGAAAGCTGCAACATCGCGGCGGGTTCGTCTGCGCCTGCCGCAGTGCCGCGTCGCGTAGCGCCAAAGCTCCGCTCTTGCCCGTGTGCACGTCGGGCAAAGCTCTCCTCTCCAGAACCGCTCGCCTTCAGGAAAGCGAGCAGGTGGCTCCCGCGTGACGCTGAGCGAGAATGACAACCTGGGACGCGACGGAAAAGGGAGTGCAAAGCAGCCTCCGAGCGTCCTCTCCCTCTGTCTGTTCCTCTCCATGCCATCTGTTGAGCGTGCGGAGCGTGCGCTCCCTTCTTCACGCACCTTTTGATTCAAAACTCCCATCACCTACCACCGTCGAATCTCTGCTACATGTTCACTTTAAAAAAGAAGAAGGGGGGGCGGGGGGGGGGGATGAGTTGCTCAGACTGTAGCGAGGAGCTGGATTGTGTTGTTTCTTTAAAATGCCATCTGTGATAATGTTAAACTTTCTGCCTGAGCTCGTTGTGCGGGAGGCTGTGCAGGACGCACTGATTGGTATGCAGCGACTCGTTCAGTTCAGATGAACAGGTCATCAGAGTCCAGGTTATTTTTTTTATTTTTAAGTACCCATGTGTTGTGAACTATTTCGTGACATTCCCATCACGTGACTGAGTAACACATGGCTGTGAAGTGAAACAAAAGCACGATTTTCAGCATTCAACAACTAAAAATATGTGGCGAGTATATAAGTATTCGGCCAGTGGCGCCTCCAGGAGATTTTGCAAGAGGCGGTTCAAAGCAGACTGAATGTTTTTGGAGGGCAGGCCGGAAACAAAAGACGCTTTTGGAGGTTCATTTAGGTTTTGAGACAAAGCTACGAATGGTAAATGACACAAGCCTTGTAGAGGAACTGCTACCAGTGAGTAGATGTGCAGCGTCAGTTTTCCTCCACACGCCGGCTTTTGCAATGCGTTTAGTTTTGGTTTGGTCTCACATGTTTGCTGCGTCTTCACATAGTGCTTCTCATGGCTTTCTGTCAAAAGTGACCCTGAGCAAAATGTAGTTTTGGCTCCAACACCACAGAGCACTCTTTACAGTGAACTAGGGCGCTACTGAAAGGTATGCTTTGTTTTTGCTCAACCATCATAATGGTCCTTTGATATTGTTTGTCAAATGAACTGATCAAGAGCAAGTTTGACTTATCTTCTACAAAAATTCACTTACAAAAAAAGTCTTTACCCACAAAATATCACAAGAAGCTTCATTAAACATAAAGAACAGTTCTTCAGTTGGCTGCAAAAGCCTTTGCATAACAAAACGCTGGAAGTAAGGCGTGATATGAATAATAAAAACATTCCTAAGTATTTCTTTTTTCCAGAACTGTGCGTGAGCCTTTTTTGGAAAGTAAGGAAAATGTCCTTTTGGGCAAGCCCCCCCCCCCCCCCCACCGCCCTTTGAGGTTGAACAGATTCTGAGCTCACTAACGCTCCAGCATTTTCTGAAAATGATTAACAAGCAAAACTTCCAAGGCTCCTTCAAACACCGAAAAGACAAGATTTTAACAACCCCTGATGATGCAGGAATTTCCAGATTCAGCTTTGTTTAAAGTTGATGGAACCTGCAGGGTCACATTTTGCACCCTTCTGATTCTATAGATGCAACGACACATGCAGGATCCCGGGCTTTTACTGCAGGGAAACGGTTCCAAGTTCAGCACCACGGACAAAGCCCCGAGAAGCAAAAAAACACTTCTACAACGCTGCTCTTTGTTATTAGAGAGTTTGAGCTTGAGTTGTATTAAAGGTGGGTGAGGGTAGGGTGGGGGTTTATTATTCTTTACTCCAGAGAAAGTTAAAAATCCACAATGTACCGATAGACAATAAAGTACAGGCTAGTTGTTTTTTTGTTATCCATCAAGGCCATGATATGCAGCTGATGCAGCACATCTTTCAGGTCCTGTGGGTTGTGAGATTGGACCCGTTTGTCCCCCACATCTCGTCAAACCTGTGATCAGATTAAGGTCTGGGGAAAACTGGAAGCCAACCGGTGAACTCCTCAAACGTGTTGTGCACCTCAAACCGTTCCTGGATCAATTTCTTCTTTTTTTTTTTTTTTTTGAAGTGCTTTTATTAAGCACTAATAATGTGCTTAATAACTAAAGTAGCACCAACATAAGCTGCGTTTCCATTAACCACAAAACTGCGCAAATTGAAATGACGAAAATAAATTTGCTTAATGGAAACAAATGATGGCAAGACTTTATTTGAAGGGGTAAACATGACACAACGGTCATGAACATGAAGGAGCACTTAATGAATGTTTATGACTGTTGTCATGGAGTGTCATTTGGAAAATGACACTTTTAATGCAAAGTTGCATTAAAAGTCCATTAAAAGCGCCAACTTTGGATTAACGGTGTCATTATTTACCATATAATGCAAAGTTGACTGCTTTAACTTTTTAACTAAGTCACGTGATCAACAGCCGGTTGTTGCTATTGTCAAAATCCCATGAAGAAGACGGCAGGAAGTAGTTTTCCTTGTAGTTTGTAGTTTGTCTTTGTCCTTCTAGAACAATGTGCAGCTGACTCCACCAGAGCTCTCACACAGCACGGCACAGTTCATAAAAAGTCCTGTTGTCATTTGAACGTGTTGAATCTGCAGCTCGTCCATAAACTCGCCAACTACAATTTGAACCAAAACGCTGCATGCGTCGCTCCAACGCCAAACATTTCCTCTGATGGCTGATAGATAATGAGCGTTTTGGTTAAATTATGAAAATAATGTCGTGTATCTGTTTATCTCCACCGCTGCCATGATTTTTAGTGACTTATCACTTGCACTAGGTTTTCAGACCTTTCGTGATGGAAACGCAGCTGCAGCTGGGAAGGTTTCCCATTAGAACATTGCCCACAATAATTACCTTCACCGTTCTTTTCTTCTTCTATCACCAAACTGTTGTCTAAAATATCCAACGCACTAAAATGTGCAATGCTGCAAAAAAATAGCATTAGTCACTACACACGTCAGTGGTTTTAAACATATCCTTAGTAAAATGGATAGAAGTTTGCCAAACATTTTGCAGAAAAGAGTGGATTCTGACGCACCTATTGAGCGACAAACATTTTAGTCTAACAATTATAACTTCTCACGAGCAATTTTATACCGTGTTCCCACGTAATTAGTTGTTAGTCTGAATGAGTGAAAAAAAAACATGAAAGTTGAACAGAGAAAGCCTCTTTGAGTGTAAATCCCCATTTAAGTAGTGGGAATTATTGGACGGTTCTTTAGCATGAATTACACCATGTGGCATCTTGGCAGGTGCAAAGCCTTTCATGAGAGCAGCGTTTCCCTCTGATGAATTTGTGTATTCTATGCCAAACTGGTTGCAGACGTTGCCCACAGTGATCTCCAGAGAGTTCTTCAGGTTTTTTTTTGTTTTGTTTTTTTTTTTTTTGGAAGAGCAGTTTTTATGCATTCTAATTTTCTTCTTCAAGTTTCCACCAAGGTCCAAAATGAAAATGGAGCACTTCACATTCGCAACTTTAGCTAGCTTCTTGATGGCCTGCAACGTAAGCCACTTTAACTTGT